AATTTTATTGAGAATTTTATTGAAACAGAAAAAATTACAAATTTTATCATAATGATTCGGATTTATGAATATAAATGGGGGTTTTTTTTTTTTTTGAAGACTAGATAATATTATATTTATTTATGTACGTACATAACAAAGCGAAAAATTTAAGTTTAACATAATCTCACCTATAATAAATTTATTTATATCTCTGCACTCGTTGCATTCTTACAATATAATTAAAAACATATTTAAAATCACTCAGACAAGGATCTCTGAAAAATCTAATATTATTCAGCTATGGCGCACCAACTGGTACATATTTTGCGTTATTCAGCAGGTATGACGTATACACTTGCGGAAAAAATTGATATTATATCTCAGGTTTTATATTAAAATAACCGGATGATTTTAATATTAACCTGCGGTAATAATGTGAAATTTTTTCCGTCAGTGTTTACATAGTACCTGCCGAATAAATTCAATTTTCTTATAATCTTGATTGACTAAAAATATAGTAATTTTTAAATCGCTAAAACTTTAAATAGAAAATTTTTTTTTCTATTAAAAGTTTTAGCAATTTATATTTTTAGCACAGTATAGAATTTATTAATTTTATTAGTCAATCAAGATCATGAGAACATTAAAACATTTGTCAAGTTCTTTTACTATTATTATTATTATTTTGATTAGCAAAGAGGATTAATAGTTACATCCAAGAAGAAAACAAAGTTTTAGAGGGTAAGTTCAAATATCTTCCTTTTATATTTATACTTGCATAGATGTATTAATTAGATTATAGAAGATAAAGATTAAAGATAATATTAAAGAATTTAATTTTATTTTTCTAGTGAAAGCTGAGAGTATGCAAAATGCTTTCTTACAACAATTTTGTATTAATTAGGCCTCTGAAAGGAAAGTAAATAATAATAATAATTAAATAATGAGTTTATTTGTTATATGTTCTTGTGTTAATTTGATTCAACATTGCTATCTTTTTTAATAAACAAATATTCTTTCACGAAAATACTATTTTAACTATAATATTGAGATGTGATAAATCTGAAGAAATTGAGGATAATTCGAGTGAATTTTTCAATGTATTTATTTTTTTTTTTTTAAAAAAAAATTCAATCTTTTATTTAATGAAAAAATATATATCACCTATAACATTATATTTCTAAACTATGTACTAAATATTCTTTCTTTTAAAAATAGTATATTTTTTTTACCAATGAAACTTTACTTATAAAGATTATGTAAGAACAAAAAGTATTGTAACAGAGACTATAAAAATTCCTGTAGGAATTGTTTTATATAGTCCAGAAAAGATATATCATTGAACAAAAATAATTTTTTAAAAAGATTTGTTTGCTGGAAGATTGTACTATTTGTAAGATCGGAGATGTCCTTAGTGAAAATAAAGCACATGTATTGGTAAGAATTATTTTCGCGAAATAACAGAAAATTAGTGTTATTTTAAAATTGAATACTTTAAAATAGTATAAGTTGTTTCAAAAATTACGCATCCCTTTTAATGTAAAAATGGATGAGAATTATCATGTAATCTAATCACTCTTTAATTAAATCGAAAATGGTTACTAATTTTTTCATTTCGATTTACATATTTTAGATTATTATAATTCTAACAAGTTATCATATAATTTTCTTTATTAGCAATACAGTTAATTCTGACGCGGATAACCAAGATTCATATATTAAAAAATTTGTTTTTTTTTTATGTAACAAACCTAAAAAGATAGCTAATAGTAAATAAAAAGTCTAATGAAGTTTACTATTTTATTACTATAATTATTTATTAGATCTTAAATATACATACGTAAGCACTTTTTTGATTATTTTTACGACACGTTTAGTCAAATAAAAATTCTATTTGATAGAAAAAATGGAGGTAGAACAAAACTGGATAGAGAATTCATTTTCATTCTCTGTAAGATTTCTTTTATTAAATAATTGGTTTCTTTATACAAAAATAACACTAATATTTTGAATCTCATTTTTTCTTTGATAAAAGAATTTTAATAATATTCCATCGGAAATTTTTATCGAGATATGTAAGAATATCGCACCATTAGATCTTATAGAATTAAGTTTGGTGTGCCAATCTTTTTGGCGCTGCCTTTCTTCACGTACATCCAGTACAACTCAAATGATTTGGCGAATCTCACGTGAACAATTTCTGTGCCACCCTAAATTACCTCCACCTGCCGACATGTGCGAACAAGATTACATTAGTCTTGTTCTTTACAATAAGTGTCAAATTTGCAAGAACGTATTTTCATTAATTATCTGGGTTTTCCGCAGACGATTTTGCAAGCTGTGTTTGAAAGAAAGAACAATTTGGTAACGTGTTTTTATCATATCGATATTTCTTTTTGGACGCTAATAAATATTTAAAAATATTTACTATAATAGTTATAATGATTTCAATGAAGCGTGGAAGAAGATTCCATTAAAAGCTGTCCGTGGGCTTAGATATATCAGGATGTATAACAAGATTCCTTATACTGAAGAATATGAATCACATCGATACTATTTAATCGAAGACATAAAAATCCTTTATGATGAATTTATGCTTCTTATTCATCAAAATAAAGATAAAGATTTTATCATTTCATGGGAGTTGGAAAAACGAATGAAAGGAAGTATTTATATGAAAGAAGTTTGCAAGTATTCAAAAGAGCAAAAGTCGGTCCAATCGACAATTTTTCGTAGTAATATTATTAAATTAGGAAAGATCTTGGATTCTTTGATCGAAGAGAATTCTGTTGATGATAATAATCAAAAATATGAATTAGATATTTTATATGATTGTCTTGGTGTAAAGAACGCTTTTTCTACTACAGATCAACTTCTTTTGAATGAAATACATAGATTAATAAATGATCTTTATACTCACGGACTAGAATAAAAAGATTATTTAATGGGTAAATATTTATAAACATGAATTGCAGATTTTAAATACATAGATTAATAAATGATC